AAATGTATTTTCATTATAAAACAAAACTCGGGATGTCATGTTCCGATAAACAGACCAAAAGCATAAACATTACAATACAGACCTTACAACAGTTATATATAACAGTAGGTCTATAATCCAAAAATAACTTGACAAGTCATCCAACTTATGCTCTGGCGCCACTACCTGTAATACAAAGAAAACTGAGTGGGTCAGGCTTGGGAGCCTGGTGAGCATATAGGGTTTTCAACCCACAATAAATAAATATATTTAGTTCATCAACCAACAATAACCCGATTACCCATTCTCGTTATCCTCACTTTATATCCCTAAAACAACAGCTATTACAAGGGACCTAATCTAGGATTTTCATCGGGACGGACATTACTGCAAAGGGGTTTCCTTAACAATAGATGTCCTAAAGGCAACCAAGAGGGGGATGGAGTACAGCGAATGAACACCCAAATTCATTAACACCTACAGGTAATGAGCCTGCTAGCGTTCCACTGGACTGTCTAGAAAAGTCTGTGGTCGTCATCTAAACTCCGCTAGATGACTGAATCAGCAACAACAACGAGGCCTCTCATCTATTTATCACACATCAACTATCTACCCATGTTCTACCCAACATATTAGTAGATAAAATATATATATATTTATACATAGTTTAAAACCTGTATAGCATTCTCATTCAATACATATTCCAAGCAACAGATGAGACACATACACATAACACGTATTTCATAGAGAATAAATCATATCTATGAGATAGAAGAAAGTGAATATACATTCACACATATAACAACAAAATATACAAATAACACGTATTTCGTATAAAATACTTCATAATTATGCGTTAGAAGAAAGTGACTACACACTCACTTGATTAGAAGATGATCGGACAGCACTACGGCTAGTAGAAGTAGTATTCTTCGGTGAAACCGGGATCACTTCACACACCGGGCTTCTCCCGGGCAGAGCTTCGGCTCGGAAACTCTTTTCTTCTCGGGATCTTCGGGCTTCGGGACTCGCTTCGGGTCTCGGGAATGATACCGGGCATTCGGGGGGTTAAAATGGGCTTAGAGAGAGTATCGGGAGTGGGAGAGTAAGAGATGAACAACCAAACTCGGCTGACCCTCGATTTCTATTTATAGGGTGAATTTTCTGAGTTCACCTCGTGAGTTTCTAATATTCACCTCGTGAACTGGCTCACCTCGTGAGTTTCTAATATTCACCTCGTGAGCTCGATACGTCATTGCGTTCGTCATGGCCACTTGCCCTGGAAGACGTCCATCATCTGTTCACCTCGTGAGTCACTAATGCTCACCTCGTGAACTGACACAGCCTTGGGGTTCACGCCTCGAACTTCAGAAATTCATAACTTTCGCATACGAGCTCCGTTTTCGACGTTCTTTATATCCACGCATAGGTGAGATTATGCTCTACAACTCTCATTTAGACTCTGTTGGCTAATTTTGACTTTATTTTTATTATATTATTTTTAGTAGGCCGGGACAGGAAAACTCCGTTATAAATTCATAACTTCTTCATCCGACGTCCGTCTTCGTCTGTCTTTTTACCGTTGGACTACTATCGACGAGATCTTCAATTCTCATTTAGATTGTTTCGGCTAAAAACCGCTCGATCTCAAATCGAGTATTCGGGCTGCACACTGCTAAGTCGAAACTTCGGAAAATCATAACTTCCTCATACGAAGTCAGATTTGGGCGTTCTTTTTATGCACGCTCTCGGTTTAACGAACTCTACAACTTCCGTTTAGATCACTAAGGCTAGATATCGCTCTATCTTAAATTCATATTTTACGTCATACAGCGTCGTGCCGGTTCTGTCGCGAAACTTCGACAGGTCATAACTTCTTCGTTATAACTCGGATTTCGGCGTTCTATATATATTCGGAAACCTCGTTTCAACTACTACAACATTATCCATAGATATCGAGCTTATCTAACATTTTAATTTTGACGCTTATTTTATTCTTAATTCAATTAAGCCACACAACTAAGCATAAAACATATAATACTCAAATATTTCATCATTAATACTTCAAAAGAGTTATAAAGGCTAACCTAGACTATTACATCAACAATAACGCCTAGCCTGGAAATGCGGGCGTTACAGCCTCCCTCCGGTCGTGTAGCAACACCAAACGGCAAACACCCATCCCTTCACCCACTATTTCGTTGTTCTCAGCTCCGACAAATTGACCATCCTAGCTCCGACAAATCGACTTAGCCACCAAGAAATGAAAACCCAAGCCGCCAATAAACCCTAACTTTAGAGTTTGCAGCGGCTCAACCATCGTCTTCGTCGAGTTGCTAGGGTTTGCAGCGGCAGGGAAGGCCTTCAAAGACGAAGATTGGAAAGGCATCTAAACCCCCAAGGGTTTTCAACGTCGTCGTGTTCGTCGTAACAGGTGTAGATTAGCGTCATCCTACCAGATCTGAAACATTGTCGGATCCGTGGCTGTTTGAAGGTGAAGATCCGTTGAACACCCTATCTTACCAGATCTCCACCTCGAGCGTAGTAAGCCACCGCCGATGATTACTACGTCGTCACTGCCTTGCTCTCACCTTCACCAGTTTAGGGTTTGCAAACCCTAGCTCTGTCCGACCCTTTCATTATAAACCCTAACTTCGTTTGGAAAAGCTCCAATAGTCGTATCGTCGCCCGTCATCGCTGGAGATATCTGTTCGTCGTAGTTCATCCGTTGTATCGTCGTCGCCACCCTTCTTTTGTTTTCAGATCAACAAACACTTTTGATACATTTTGACTGGTAGTGGTGGTTGTAGCCATGGACGGATCTTCTTAAGGGGGAGGGGGGGCTGTGGCCCCCCTGATTTTTTTTTTGAACTAGTCCATTACTATTAAAGATTTTACATATTACACCCAAAACTAAAAAATTTGACTGCGGCCCCCCTGTTCTTTAATTTTTATATATATTTTACTTTCGGCCCCCCCGACTCAAATGTTCAAGCTCCGTTAATGGTTGTAGCCTTCTCAGTCTAGATCTGTAGCTCGATCCGACTTTCATATGATGCTAGGGTGGTAGTGGAGGTGTTCACAGGTGTTGTTGTCGTCGTTGATCAATGGTGGTGGTGGAGTTGATCGGTGGTCACGGGTGTGGCGGCGATGACCGGTGGTTTTGGAGGATTCTAGCAAAAAGAGGTGAGGAATATAGGTAGGAGAGAGAGAGAGAGAGAGAGAGAGAGAGAGAGAGAGAGAGAGAGAGAGAGAGAGAGAGAGGTATTTTCTTTTTTTGTTTTTCTTTTAAATATTAAACTATATAAATAAATAAATAAACTGAAAAAGCAAAACCAATGGCAAAATCGTCATTACAAAAAAGTTTAGACAAAATTGCAAAAATGGTCACCGTGGTATGCATTTTTTTGGGGTTTTAGTCCAAACCCCGGCTTTTTTTTGGCTTCGTGGTCCTTTTGAGCTAGTTTGCTTGTGATTTTGGTCCCTCGGAAAACTGAAAAGACTAAAATGCCCTTTCTGATATACTTTTTATGTTTTTTCATTTTAATTTAAAGAAAAAAGAAAATAGTTAATTAATGTGGGCCCTCTCTCTCTCTCTCTCTCTCTCTCTCTCGTACACACAAACATGGATATCATCTCTCTTACCCATACATCTTTCCCTCCCTCTTTCTTCCCCAAACTCAAATACCTAAAATCACTAGACCAACATGAATCTAGTAATCATCTTCAAGATTGAGGAATTTTCGAATTCAAGGGAGGAAAAACAAGAAGGGGTGGGGAAGAAGATGGTACTCACTCTCTCCCTAATCTGATGATTTCTTCTCTCGCAACCACCCTTCTCTCTACTTCGCTACTCTCTCATATATGGACAACAAAGAAACAACCCATCACATTCGATCTACTTCTGTTACGGTAAATTCTATCACCAGAAAGAGATCACGAAGATGATGACATGCCTTATTCCTCCTCATTACTCTGATCTGCATATGGGGTCATAAACAAGCGAGAACAGGGGACGAAGATAGTGATAATCGGTAGCTGATGATGGTCTCGTTAGGAGCTAATAATGAAGATGATGGGGAAATCGAGTTTCAGGTTCCATAAATCAATGTTTCAATCAATAATGTACTTATGGAAATTCCATTTCCTTTCAAATTTTTTTAAAAGAGATTCTAATGGGAAAAAATGTGAATCTGGGTTATCTTGTACATATTACAATGGCTAAAGTACAAACATCATAAACTTGTGCCCATTGACTCTGTGGGTATAATTTTTAATATTCATAGTGTTGTTATAAAGCTTTCATACACGAAACAGGTTCTATGCTTGATATAATGGTTGGTAAGCATCGACTTATAATATTAAGTTCAAGATCTGGGCTAATTTTGGTGTTTAGTATTGTATGAGGTTTGAAGAACATCATCTGAGTTTCCAATAAACAAAAGAGGGAAGAGTGAATGTTGCAGTCTGAACCTTGACCGATTATAGAGAGAGAGAGAGAGAGGGAGGGAGGGAGGGAGAGGGAGAGGGAGAGGGAGAGAGAGGAGGTGGACCCCTTCTTATTTTTTTAATTATTAAAATAAATAAATTAGTGTTAGATTTAAGAAGAAATGAAAGAAAAATGAAAAATAAATACTTCAAGGGTATTACAGTCATTTCACTATTCAGGGGGACCAAAAACACAACAAAACTAGCTCAAAAAGACCACGAAGCCAAAAAAGTCGGAGTTTAGACTAAAACCCCAAAAAAATGCATACCACAGAGACCATTTTTGCAATTTTGTCAAAAGTTCAAAGTAATTAGTAGACCAAAGTGGCAAGAAAATGAAAACCTTTGGACCATGAGTGCTAGTTTAAACCTGTTTGGCTCAAAATGACAATTTCGACCTAACCACAAGGACCATTTTTGCAATTTTGTCTATTTTTAAAATAGTTTAAGTTAAAGTTACTTTTTTTTAATTGTATTGTACATTTAACAAAAGATAAAATTGAGTAACATGTTCTGATGTTTTTTCACTTCAAAATGTTAGAAACCACAAGCGTACAAAATTCTATTTAGAAACAAACATTTCTCTTTCTTCCCTGTAAAATGAAATCAAGAACAACTGCACTTACATCTTTCATTCCTATAAATAGGCTGAAAAACTGATATCGATCAAACGGTCTCCGCAGATTTGATATGCCTCGTAAGACCCAAATTCAAGAAAGGTAAGCTCTGATTCCCTTTTTTGTTTTTGTTTTTCTTTTCAAGATTCTAAAACCCCCTTTTTTTTTTAACAAAAATTTATGACTTTATGTCATTCCATCTTGCTCTTGTTGAACTGACGCTGGGATTTTCCCTCCAATATTCAATGATTATCAAGTACACTTCTACATCCCAACTCTCAATTTTTCTTCTGATTTACCTCCAATTTTGCATTCCGGCAGTTAAATCCCGAACTGGGTCGTCGGAAAATAAGGTCAAACATGACCGGTGGACCGATATTTTTGACAGAGTCTCCCCTCGCGAGAGATCTTTGCGCATTGGCTTTCTCCACCTGTTTCGCACTCTCTTTGCTTCGAATCTTTGAAGAAACTGCAAAAAGAGGGGTTTTCCACAAGGTGAGCCTTCTACTCTTCTCTAATTAATTACGCAATTCATTTCAAATAGATTTGTTAAAAGTAGCGAATAATAAAATATTCATCCTCTTGGAGAAAAAAAAAATATTTCTTTTTTCCCATTTGGGTACGTTTCAGTTTAGTTCTTGATGCAATGATCTTACTTCCTCGTCGACAAGAGGAGTCCAATTTTGACTTTTACTTGAAGTCAAACTACATTTCAACTCAAATTCAATGTAGATTTGAGCTTTGAAACTGCATTAGAATCTATGATATGTATGGATAGAATTCCGTTGGCTATAAATCTACTACAAAAACCATAACCAAAATTTCGCATTTGCAAATTGATAGGGTTGATTTCATCGATAAAATGCAGGTTAAATTCATAATCAGTTCCTCTAAAGTTCACTTTTGAGTCATTTTAGATTCAAACACTCCTTAATGGATTAGATCTAGATATAAATCCTACAAATTTCAACCTTGGGTTGGTTTGTTGCTCAAATTAAAAAATCATTTCTTTGTGTGATTAAGTAAAAAAGTACCATTTTTGTCCAACAGTCCAATTTATTATATCTGTACTGTATTGCTTACCAAACTGGGCAATAAAATTGTTTTCTTTCTTTATCAGAAACTAAACAGGAAGCTCGTGCATGTGACAATTGGGCTAGCGTTCATGTTATGCTGGCCTCTTTTCAGGTAACAACACGACAACAAAAGGACATTTTTGTCATTTCACATATGATGATAAATTAAATTTACGTTTACATTATCACAGTTCAGGCAGTCAAGGAGCATTCATGGCAGCTGTTGTTCCTGGAGTCAACATAGTGAAAATGTTTCTTATCGGAAATGGAATAGTGAAAGATGAGGCCACGGTTGTATCTATGAGCAGATTTGGAGACTACAGGTTTTTTGAACTATCAATTAATTAAATATTTAAGTGATACGTAATATAACATATCATAATCCTATTAATTATCAACCAATTAAATATTTTTGACTTTTTTAATTTGTTTTTTATGTACCAGGGAACTTCTTAGGGGTCCCTTGTACTATGCTTGTACAATCACATTGTGTTGTGCAGTTTACTGGCGGACGTCCCCTATTGCCATTGCTGCCATGTGCAATCTTTGTGCTGGAGATGGTAATGATTTTTTTTCTAAAATTATGATGATAGTAAGGGCATTAACGTCTTTTATAGAAAAAAAAAATGGGGACCGAATCCTTGTCCCACCTTTAGGTGGGACAAAGAATACACTTTTTGTCCCACTAACATACGTCAGTGTCGTAGTTTTTGTCTTATTAACATCCATCAGTGTCATAGTTTTTGTCTCATTGACATCAGTCAGTGTCAGTTTTTGTTTTTGTCTCATTGACATCAGTCTGAGTCCCGGTTGTTTCTCCAGGCTTTGCTGACATTATTGGAAGGAGGTTTGGAAAGAAGAAGCTTCCTTATAATACCGATAAAACTTATGCGGGGACCATTGCCATGGCACTTGCTGGTTTCATTGCATCTGTCGGGTAATTTTTTGCAATCTCTCTTTGGTTTTTTTGCAAATAATATCTACTTATCTAGTGTCAAAAGAAATGCAATATTTGGTGTTTGAAAACGATAGGAGAAAAGACGGCATACGTAAAAAATAAAAAAGGCCAACTTTATAAAAAGTTTTGGACTTAAGTGGGGAAAGTTTCCACTTTTTCTATCAAATCATTATTTCTTAAGTCAAAAAGAAACACCCATATAATGTTATTAAATAAATAGAATATTGTTGATATGTATAGGTACATGTACTATTTCTCGATTTTTGGGTTTGTTGAGAATAGTTTTGAAATGGTGAGGGGGTTTTTGGTTGTGTCTCTTACAAGCGCATTGGTTGAGTCCCACCCGATAAGCACCACATTGGATGACAATCTCACAGTGCCTCTTGCCTCTTTGTTGGTAGGAACTTTTGTATTCTCATAAATATATGTTGAAAAGAGTGATTCGGTGTTGTAAAACGTTAGTCAGTTTCCATTGTAGTTCTTTACTCTTTTTTTAATGTCGAATAAAACTTGTGTAATGTGACTTGATACTAATTCAGTTAACATTAAGCCCCCTTGTTAAAACATAAAACGGCATATTACTTTTAATTTTATTTTCTCGTTTGTAATAAGTACGATTCTTTACCATTGATCCTTTCCGCATTTTACCTATTGTAACGGTGTAGTTTTAACTTTATATTATTTTAAGTTAAATGCCTAAATAACACTATACTTTCTGCTTTTTACTGTTTAAAGGAACACACATTTTTTAAAAAAAAGAACTTAATTATGAAATTCAAATTTGGAGAGATTCTAATCATTGATGCTTAACTAACAATAATAAGTTAAAGTAACTAACTCACAAGCTTTTCCTTGAAGATATTGATATATAATCACCAATGCTCTTTAATATTGCTTCCAACTCCACCATTTCCATAAAAAAGCTGATCTCCTTATACAATCTAGGCTACCAAGAATTTGAAATCAAGAGGGAAAAGGTGTTGGTGGGGTTGGGCGTCAAAGATCAATCTTTCAATAATTGGCAAGTTTGATTCCTCAACTTTCTAATTTTTATACTTTCTTCCAAAAAGACACCAAACTATCACTTTTAACTTAATAACTCTTTCTTAACCCAAGAAATTTAAGATGTTAACAATTTATGTCCAAAAAAACGTTAAGCGAATAAAGTCAATGATAATACTAAAACTTCCATAAATGGCAAGATTGACCCATCAACATTCTAACTTTTTTATTTAACAATCTATGACCTTTGTTTAACATTTCAAGTCCCTAAACATATAGTATAATCATAGATGTTATAATTCTTATGGTTTAGGTCCATATTCTAGTTAAATAAATTCAGTTCGATGTCATTCCTTACGATATCAAAAAGTCAATTCTCAATCTCAAAGCTTTTGATATCAACTTTCACCGAACAATTAATAAATTCTTAGTTTAATTATTTTATGTTCACTAAATTGAAATTTAAAATCAATCATTTTTTTATAAATTAATCTATTTTTAATTTACTTTTAAGGGATAATTCAAATGCCTAAACCGAAATTACATGTGTTACAATGTTGTTGAACTAGGTAAATTGATGGATTGTGGTTGCGGGGAAGTGCGAACCAACGACACGATGTAAACTCAATCGTATTGTTTTTGGGGTTTTATTCAAAAATAGTTTAAAATAAATAGTTGAAACTACAAGTTTAGCAACGGAAACAGTTTTAAGTTTGAATAAATTAAAACCATTTTAACTCATCAATGATCATTTTGTAAGAACTTAGAAAGATTAAACATAACCAAAGAAAAAAAAATATAACAACCTTTGAAGACTTTAGTTCATTTTAGGAATTGGGAAGTTGATGAAGATGACTTTAAAATTCTAAGTAGAATTTTTCTAGAGATATCCACCAACAATAAATCAACTTGATAAGATGCTAGACTTCTTCTTGTAATAAAAAAAATACTCTTAAGCCTTCAAGAACAAAACAAAGCTTTTGTTCTAAACGAGAGTTCAAAAAAGTATCATATTCTTCATGCATGTGTTTTAACTAATAAAGACTTTCATGAAGGAGAGAAAGAGATGGAGAATGCATAATTGTCTAGCCACAAAAGATGATGTGAAATGGTCTATTAAACACTCTTAAGAAAACATGTTGTCCATCGACTATTTACCTTTTCATCCCATGCTTATATCCTTAAAAGCCTACATAGAAAGGATATGTCTTCATGAATAAAATAAGAAAGCATGGTCTCTTTCTTTATTCAACAAAACTCATGGTTTATATATATATATATATATATATATATATATATATATATATATATATATATATATATATATATATATATATATAAAATGAAGCAATTTTATAAAATTCTTCTACTAGTTTATAAGATATAAACCGTGGACTTTCATGTATTACCCTAACCTTGTACATGCATTAATCATTAAGAGAACACATGCTTCTAAAGCATGTTATTCTTATTAAAATAAGCATTACAGACAATAACTAGTTTTCTTAATTAGTCTTTACAATACGTCTTTCAAATTGGAAGAATAATTGGCTTTTAGTTTCTTTTCTTTATTTATAAATCATATGTATCTAATTTATATATAACTGAAACCTTTAATATATATATATATATATATATATATATATATATATATATATATATATCAACAATATACATGACTTATATAAATCATTCCCTATGATTTGATTTGATACTGTATATTGAAAATTAATATTTCTGTGAATAAATAATTTCCAATTAATTAAAACAGTTATATTTATTTATCAAGGATAAATTTTTTATAAATAATATATATTTGCATCAAGTTGTTGTTAGTGTGACCCTTTAGGATCATATATTATCTAGAAATCCCATTCTATAATTATTCTTAGGGCGTATAGATCTTTTAGTTGTGACATTAAGTTAGCATGTTGTTATGGAAGTTGGCATTGATTACTTTGTTGTTGTTGGAGGTCATTAAGATGCATGTTTCCTCGACTTGGATCCCTCCAATATGAAAAAACATAAAAGAAACATGAGTCGTATGAGATGGTTTAGAGGGTTCCTGATATCGAGCCACTCATTGTTCCTCAAGTAGGAACATCGACTGCGTCTCCAAGAAGTTTGGAAGAGGAGACCAATGATGGATTATGCTTGCCATGTAGTTAGAGTTTGGAGAAAAACCATTAATGGTTTAGATGATGATGTTTTTATCAATAACATGCCATAATTTTTATCTTCATATAATAGTATTTGATTGAGAGATCACCCATGGAGATGATTTATTATTCACTATGTAGTTGGACCGCATCGGCATCCTTGCTGTCACAAAAAATCTTTTCGAGACTTACCCACAATTGACACGAAATGCCCCAAATTCCATAATAAAATTTTCATTTGCGAAATAGAATAAACAACCGTTTTTATAAAGATATAATAGATGTAAAACCATTTGTTCAAAAACTATAATTTAAAACCAGAGTTATAAGGAATACAATATGGGATCTCGAATAAAAAAAATGTTGATGTGTGTACAGTCCTGCCTTCGCGATCCGATAAGTACCTAAAAACATTTAATTTACAACTATAAGCCAACGCTTAGAAAGTTCCCCAGAATACTCACACAATAGTACACATACAATGCATACATGAGCCTTCAGACTGACTGGACCACCTCATAAGGCCTACATGTTGGATTAGGTGTCTAAGCCCATAACTATATTTAGTATGTACTTGACTCGATAATAACATGGTCCTTTTGGGTTGCCTTCACCGGAGCAACTTAACTGGATGATTAGTGGAGATAGAGGATATTATGGTTTATTAATATATTATAAGAATAATATATTAAAAGAGAAATCATATTAGTTAGTTAATATTGGTCAAGAATTAATTTTGTGATCAAAAGATATTAATTGAACTTAGGGGACTGGAATTACAATTATAAGATAATTGGATTTTGGGCTGTGGATCCTTTGGATTAAAGGGTGGACGAAATTAGGGTGGAAACCCACCTTGAATTCGTCCTAGGCCTTATTCCAGAAGATTCTATTGGATTGCTTAAGGCCTAAGCTATCCAATTAGGGTTTTGACTGAAACCCTAGTAGCACACCTATATAAGGGACCCTATGACTTCATTTTTTGGCTACCACTTCAACCTTAGAGTACTAGAGTCGATTTTGAGCCTCCTTCCCCTCTCTCCAAGATCATCCAACTTGCTTTGGTGTTTGCAAGCCATCAGAGGTATTACATTTGTGATACTAAGCTCTTGAGGATTGAAGATTCTTGCTACTCTTGAAAGGTAATCATCCAAACTTGTTTAGATAGTATTTTCGATTGTCATATGCTAGAATTAGGGTTTGTAAGCTTTGGATAATTTGCATGTACAATTAGATAAACCTAGATCCAAAGTATTAGGGTTTTGCATGTGCACCATAGGATTGATGATTTGCTTAAAACCCATCAGTGGTATGAGAGCCTAGGATATTTATTCTAATGTATTTGATGCAAAGTTTATTGTTCATAGCTGTTAAAACTCGTTTTCTGTTTACTGCCCAACTCATGACGTGACTAACTGGAGCTCACGATGTGAGTTCAGTGAAACTGCTGAACTCGACGAGTCCAGATGGCTACTCGGCAAGTTGGAGGTTCAGATGGCAGATATTTCAGAATTTTGACCTATTTGTAGTTAGGATAATTACCAAAAACAATTTTGATTGATAAAATCCGATTTACATTAATATGATGTGATTATCCTTATCAAAATAAAACATAATTGTCAATTAATTGGATAACCATTGCCTTATATGATAAACTTTAATTATTTGAATTATTTGATTGAATTATCTTGCCATGAAATTGAATTAGGTCAAATTTAGATAATCACTAATTAATTGTTTAATTAAAGTATTTGTAATTTGATCTAGTATGTTTTGAAAAGTTTCAAAACTTGACCTCAGTTTTGGAATTTAAATTTTTGATTAAAAGTTTAATTTTGAAATAATTAAATTCTAAACCCTAGAATTTTACAAGTTTAAAATTCAACCCTTATACTATTATTATATTACAAGATTAATAATATATATATATATATATATATATGTATAAGATTAAGCTAGTCTTACTGTTAGTAGGTCTTATTCATGAAACCGATCTATAAGGGGGTATAAGGAAATTGCCCATAAAATGGCGATTGAATGAGTGTCCACTCTCACCCACCGCTTCCTTGATTGGTGAAGGGTCGTTAGCCGAACGGCTAGGATAGGGCAACTAGGGATGAGCATAGGCGGGTACCCGTCCTAATTGTCTGGAACCGGAACCGGCGATCTTTGAAATCTAGGAACCGGAACCGGAACCGTCGGAACCGGTTCCGGTACCGGGTACCTGGTTGTTTTAAGTTTTTTTTTCATTAGAAATTAATCATTGCAAATCGTTAACTATTAAAAACTTATATAAACATAACCGATACAAAATTAACTACATAAAAGAAAATATAATAGGAGATTGAGGCAACTTTATATCTAAAATATATGCATATCTATGTTTAGGAAGCTATAAATAAAAATAATAAGCTTTATAATTCTTGATGATTTATATTATGTTTTCTAAGTTAAAAACTGCATCCATAATATTAAAAATAATAATATTAATTGCGTCGATACAAACCAAAACATAGCTCCTGAATTACTATAAACGATTAGCTCCTATATTACTATAACTATTACGGGACAAATTTGATTATATATATATATATATATATATATATATATATATATATATATATATATTATATATATATATATATATATATATATATATAGAGAACCATAATTAACCAAGGAACCAATTTTTTTTCAACTTTTAGAACTTATTTTTTATCAAAAAAAAAAAAAACTAAAAATACAGAAATTCATAACTTTTTATCATTTTTCCAATGATATCAAATTCGATTTTTTTTACGTCAAATTCACAATGTGAATCTTTGAAAATTCACAATGTGAATCCGGATTCACACGGTGAATCCGAAAAATATTTTTCACATTCACAATGTTAATATATGAATTTAGATATTTTTAGATTTTTTTTTTCGATAAAGAATAAGCTGTAGAAATTGAAAAAAAGATTTGTTTCCTTGAAGAACCAATAATTATGGTTCTCTATTGAACTTTTCCCTATATATATAGCGGTTTCGGCGGGTATCCAGCGGGTAGCGGTTCCGAAAAGAAAAGACCCGGAACCACTTAAGGCAGTTCCGGTTTCGGAACCGACGGTCCCAAGGCGGTTTCGGTTTCGGTACCGGATAACCGGTTCCGATGCTCACCCCTAAGGGCAACTAATTCCTCATTATAAGTATAATGATTAATAAAGTAACTAAATGTTTTTATAAAATTCTTAATCTTAGTTACTTTAGGAAAAATGTGAAATTGTATGCTATTCCATGAAATTGCACTTTGCACCTTGCCAAGTCGTTAGTGGAGAGTGCGTGGCTAACCGACATACTAATTTGGGACTAGCTTGGGTGGCAAAGGGTGGCTCGATTTTTATCATAGACTAATGGAGCGTGTGTGGTTAACCGGCA